TATATTTGTAGTGAAAAGCAAAAACTAAACTGAGATAGATAGATTTAGCTTGAGGACATTGAAAAACATTCCTGACTAGAAATGGGTAAAAATATTCTGCCTAAGCTCAAAATGAAAGTTTCTATAATATGTTGCGTAGATTTGACTTGTTCTAAAATGTTTCCATGCTAAAATCAATAGTGAAAATATAGAAGACAAGAATTGTATTTATATATGAAATTTTATTTTGTCTAGTTTTTGTCAAAGAGTATTACCATATCCCTGCCGCAGCCTTGTTTTTGTGACGTGGTATATCAATGATTTGAAATACTTATTAGCCATTTTTATCCATTCTTTCTACCTTTTATATTCTTGAAGGTAAGCTATTGAATTAAGTAGTAAAGGAGTGGTTATAAGGAGATTTTTTGGCATCATTACAAGGAAGATAATTAGGTGGAGTTAGATTTGAATGTTATAGATTGGAAATTGTCTTGCTATTAGGTGAAGTTAGATTTGAATGTTATAGATTTGACTTGTTCTAAAATGTTTCCATGCTAAAATCAGTAGTGAAAATATAGAAGACAAGAAGAATTCACAGATCATGCCATGTATAGATTTGACTTGTCCAAACATGTTTGGAAACATAAAGTAACAAGTGATAATTACTTTTAAGCTTAAGCCATATATGCTCTAAGTTGCACACACTTTCCATTCGTATTTGTTAGCATTATGTCTTGTTAATCTTCAAAACCAAAATGAAAATACACGGGTTTAGATACTTGAATCCAGAACCTCGAACATTACTGGCTGAGGTTAATCAGCAGATGGCTCCACAATTTGAAAAGCTCAACAAATCTTTGATTGAATTGGTATATTTGAGCATCTGTCAATTTTTACATTGATCTCTACTTCTTCAGAAAAGTATTTGTTTGGATCTGGAACAACATTTGTTGCCCAGATTATAAGTTTTAAATGTGCAACATGTATTTTGTTATTATCTCAAACTAGCTTATTTTGTAAATTGATTGAAGCTGGAGACTCTTGCTGCAAAAATAAATGGCATGATCTGTGAATTCTTTTGCGTATCAAATAGTTAGTTCAAAGAAAGGTACTTCCAAGAACAAAGAAACGAACGAGCTGGTTCACGAAGAAGCTGTGCTTGAAAACTTAGAGAAGGGTTAGGCAGATAATGATGAAACAAAAGAGTCAGCTTCAGAAGAAGGTATGTTCCATGAGTGCTTTCCTAGCCATGTTTACAAGCAGCCGGACAGATTATTAATATATATCTTTTCCCCGATTAGCTTTCTCTTTCCCAAATTGCCAAAAGCCTGATGCATTTGTTGTTAATTGATCAGAATTATTATTATGCTGTTGTAATATTAGCTACAAAAGAAAATGTATAGAAATGTGAAAGCAATATTGTTATTTCCTTGTCTATAAGTACCATCTATTTGGTAAACGCTTGCC